ACAAACACATGAGTCCTGTTAGGACATAACAATATTGAGCTTATAGCTAAAATTAAATTTATATCAACATTATAATAAATTAGTAGTAATTTAACAATTATCAAATAAATATGAAGTCAATTTTAATATTGGCCATGATTCTTATACATTTTTTTTGAAGCGTAAGTAATTTAGAAGCATCCGAACTGTTTCCCCATATAGGTATGCCATATCGCAACCATGATTGTGCGTATGCGAGATAAGCTAATCTGGCAGTGTGTGTATCAGTCGATCTTTTTAACTCATTTAGTGCATAGATGAATCTGGATAGTTTATTATTTATTCAATTTATTATTATATTTATACATTCAATATGGCTTTTCCAGTTAAAGTTGCAGTCTATATTAACTCCTAATAATTTAAAATTGTTTACATGCTCTATCTTTTTACCTTGTGTCGTGAAGTTTATTTTAAGAGATTTCTTTTGATATGGTCGAAATACCAATATTTTAGTTTTTTTTAAATTTATATTAAGGTTGTGGTCATTTAGCCAGAGTAGTAATTTTGTCAAGATTATGTTTAATTTATTGTTAAGGTTTCTATCGTCAGATACAGGAAATATAAACGACATATCGTCAGCAAACAATATACTGTCCTCATCAAAAATGCTAGGTAAGTCGTTGATATACAAAAGGAACAGCAAGCATCCAATGACGCTACCCTGTGGTATAGACTGCATCACAGCTGTTTCGTCAGATCGAACATTTTTTATATGATTGCTGTTACAACATTTGTACTGAACTTCAACACATTGTACCCGGCTCTTAAAATATGAGACAAGCCAGTCGTGTGCTGCGCCCCTTATTACTAAGTCATATAACTTTATTAATAATAATTTTGGCAAAACCCTATCATATGCTTTACTTAAATCTATTAGCAAACCCACAGCATATTCATTTTAATTAATAATTTCCAGAGCCTTTTCTACATATTTGAAAACTGCTATATTTGTAGAGCGTTTCTTTCTGAATCCAAAATATTATATTTTTCACAAAAGGAATACAAACGAGTAGTCATGGCGGATTCAAACACTTTTGAAAAAGTTGGCAGCAAAGCTATGGGTTGATAGTTACTTTCTAATGTAGTATCAGATGTCTTGAATTGGTTTGATAATAGAAATTTTTAATTTATCCGGAACAGTCCCCTCGTCAAAGGACTGGTTGATTAAAAATGTGAGAAGCCATGCTAATTCTGCTGAGCATTTTTTTACTAACATGGGAGGTATATCGTCGTAACCACAGCTGGATTTATTTTTCAAGCGCTTTAAGATTGCCATCACCTCCGCAACACTAGTTGGTCTTAGAAAAAACGAGTTATGCACAGGGGAAACAACATGGCGGCCCAGCGGCGGTTGAGCTTCGTTATACGCACCTACTGACGCAAAGTAATTATTAGAAATATTCGCCAGTACGTGGGGGTCTGATAGTAGAGTACCCTTTGTACGTAATTTTATTATATTGTGAGAAAGATGGACTCCTTAACCAAATTGTGTAACAAGATAGGCGAAAGTTCTATAATATCAACTTAAATTTGACTGTTAAGTAAACCTACTAAATTAATGTTAAATTATAAAGGCAGATAATGACAGATTATTCATAAACGCACTTTAAATATAATCCAATTACTATTTCCATTAAAAGGGCCTCGTAGCAGAAGTGTTAAATGTAAACGTTAATTGAATTTTAATCTCGTCGCGCTTAGTCGAGTACTAAAAGTGTACCTAATTGGAAATTTCGGATTCTTTGCACAATACTATGTTTGTTTTAAAATAGCTTGCTCCCTGAAATAGAAACAAGCTTACTACGGTAGGAGGTTACAATCCTCATTCACTTTTGTTTTAGAAAGATAAGCTTTCAGATTAAATAATAGATGAAATAGTTTTTTTTTAATTTATTTGTTTTATAAGGATGCCAAACAATCATATGACTCGCCTGATGGTAAGCGGCCACCATACCCCCTACCTCGTTGAGCCCTGAAACCTTACTCACCGACAGCAACACAACACCAACAAAAGTTAGTGTTATTTTTCGGTGGTCTTCGTTTAGGTGGATAGGAGCTCCAATTTGAGCAGAAAATCCGCTTTGCCCTACTTCACTTAAGGTATTGGCAAGTATCCCATTTCAACGCTTTAAGAGTTAGTATCAAATTTTGCAAGCAATATATTTAAATTCTCAATGCGCGGATAACTTGCTAGTTTGATATCAACAGGAGTATTCTAAAAATTAATGATAAGTTTTCATGCATTCCCGACCATCACACCAAACATAAACACCTGTGTTAAAGAGGGAGCTTTCTTTTCCGACCATCATACTGTCACATTTTTAAAATGGAGTGTGAAGGTGGGTAAGCCTTGATTTGTCCTTTATTTTTATAAAGTCATTGTCGTTGATGACGAAGTCCCGGTGCTCACACTCTATTAAAAAAAATGACGGGTTGCACTCCGGGAGTGCCGACAGAAGTGAAAACTTGAATATTAACGTTGTGCATTTTTGATATTTTGGAATGTTTAGGGAATAATTTTGCACGAATTGCTTTAATTATCAGCATAAAAGTACTATCATGTATGTGGTAGAATACAATATTTATTTATTGCGTTATCGTACACAAACATGACAATATATATTACATAAAAAAGTTTATCTCAGAAAAATCACGTTAAAGCGCACTTAGCGACATCTATTGTAAAGAAATCAAATTACATGAATCACATTTCAGCGCACCTAGCGACATCTATTGTAAAAAAATGCATTTTCTTCGCAATAAAGCTGAGACTTCCTAGATAGAGACTTATTAATATAATACGGTAAAATAAAATATTACTATGTTTCGTCCAATATATTGAAAGTCAACAAAGTTTCCAATTTTATTGTGTATCATGATGCGATCAGCCCATGTTTTTACCCATACAATAACCCTGTCTGCGCGTCGCGCTTCGCGCTCTTGCATTGGGCAGCCGGGTAAAAAAAAGTGTACAACGCCGCTAAAGAAGTTTTCACTTCAAAAAATACAACCAAGGAAGTCTACTTTTTCCCTAACGAAGAACAAGTTACTCTTGTGTTTTACCAGTTTTATCAATAAGTTGTAATAAATCATCCATCACTTTACTGATTTCAATTTAGTAGTAATAGAGTATATAGCTTAATTGAATTTAAGCTAAAACCTTTTGTGATACGTTAAGTTATATGTTAACAGTTCTGTAACTTGAGAATTTAAGTACTTTGAGTGCGCTTTTACCCGTAGCATTGAAAATGAAATAAAAGTTCACTAAATCAAATTTTCTTCTTCTTTAATAATGTTTGTAGATAGGGTTATATCGGTTTTTAATATAATGTACTGACATAGTATTAAGTATTGTATACTAACACACGGATCTATGTTGTGCGAATAATAAATGATTTGAATTTGAATTTTGTAGGTAAAGTGAGCAAAATGAAATCATCACTATATCCAAACTTTTGAAAATTTAATTTTGTTTGTGAGTGCGTATTTAGAATAAATTCGTTTTAATTAGTTAAAAAATAAAGATTCCATTCACGCTTATTTTTGCCACCCCTACAAGGGGTATGACGTACATACAAATTCAAAACATCTCCTTTGTGTGTTTTACACTTCACAAAATCAAATGGCTTAAATATTTGGATATGTTTTTTTTCCCCGTTGATAAAGGACATGGCTTGTAACAAGGATAAAGAAGGAAATATATTAACGGATCTATAAAATTTGCATAAAATTCGTTACGGCCTTTAGAAATTAGCAGCCCTACAGATGGGTGATGAAACAAACATGACATATTCCGATAAACAACTCAACGCGGAAGATTTACGTTCACACTGTTCACAGTATTTTTTTCTAATAATGCCGAAATTTGACACAATATACGCAGAATGTAAGGAGAAAATATCTGAAATTTATTCCTTAGCCGTAGATATTTCATTTTGCGGCGACAAGTAATGATATAAAACGGCCAATCTCATCGAACTCGTTGCCCTTGGTAAAATCAAGAAGATAAATAATTTGTAAGGGTTCCTTAGGCGTATTCCGTGTAGGGAGGGATACACATAAGCTCTAACAAGATGTCCCATAAAAAATAACAAGCAGGCATTCTCATGATATACTTAGGTACTCACTTAGGAAATTTGTATGGGCATATTTTATACAACACTTTGTTTTAATATAAAACCTATTTCGTAAATACTATATACCGTTCAGAACTTTATTCCATTACCATCCAAAGTCTACAAATTCTCGTTTGGTGACTGGACCTAGGTTTACGCTACAAGTTTGATGAGGTTTTCGAAACTTTGTAAATGAAGCAGTATTCGTGGTTTGAATTCATAAATTAGAAGTTGCGTCAATATGATGAACAAGTATAAGTATTATTAATTATATACTCTGATATGCTAAACGTATTATTAAGTATATACTCTGATAAAATTAATAATACTTGAAGGAACTACATATTTAGTTTACAAATGAAAAGTTTATATATTTAATGTTTTTTTGTAATGGATTTGGATTTATTGTATGGTTTTCCTGAATTTTAATTGAACTCCCGGGCCATTTAATGGAACTAACTTACAGAACCCAAGAAATTAGTGCTACCGTTGTTTTCTTGTTTGGAGGATAGTGAAACTTTAATTTATTTGTTAGATTTAAAATCCCAAACGTTGATAAAAATTTATTTCAACAGACAATAGCGCACGTATCAACCTGTGACATCAAACATGTATCAATGTGGTATCAACAGAAAAACTTTCTTCTATGATTTTTCAAAATTCTTATTCCATGATATTTTTATTGGGGGCTCCCGGGGTCTAGCCAAATTCTTCGCCCATGTTGCCACCAATGGGACCCATAAAACGCTGATGAAACCTATTTACTGTATGGCGTTTTGTAATTAGGTAATTAAAAATATATAACTGTCAATTTACATATATTTTGACGTTAGCCAATTTGTCCATGTCATTGAGTTCTGTGATGAGAGCAAAATTGTTTTATTGCATAATTAAAGAAATATTACATGTAAAAGGTATATATAAATAATTAATAATCAATCATGACATCAGAGGGGACTTTGAAAAAGCGCCAGTTGCCTAAACTCATGGCTTGTATGACAAAAACAAGTTTGGAAAACTTGCGAAGTAAAGCCTTGTTTAGTATGGAAATGCTTGATGCCAAAGGCATTAGAAGGTGAACTACAAAAGGTTTTATTGTTATAATTATAAGTATAAAGTGTTATTTCTAATTTATTGGGTTCTTCCTAAGGTTCATAGTTGTAGTAGTAGGAATAGGGGGTTTGCCAAAGACACTAAATAAATAATTATGTTACGGGATGGTACCAAGAACTTAATTACGATTTTCTTTTAGACAGCTATCTAAGCGAAAACGAATCATAAAAGAAGACATATAATTTTTAATGATTTGAGCATTATAAATTAATTATTATCAATGCATATACGTGTTCATAGCGACAGGGGTCCAATATCGTCATTATAGATATTTCTTCAATAAATTAGAATTTATATGTAAATTATAATTCAACAATAGGCGTGTAAATGCATGAAACTATTTATTGATTAGTAGCCATTTTCATGCATTTAACTGCGAGTTTTATAAATCTCCAGAAAACTTATGTAACAGTACAATTTCCAAAGCTTTTTGAATTTTAATCGAATTTACTTCCATATTTTTTCATTTACTTGATACTGTCAAGCTTAGAAATATATCTACCAGCAAAGTCAGTGGCAAAACAGAACATCAGTTGGTTCTATAAGTAAACCTAGTTTTCAAAACCATTACCGTGTCCCACAAGTATATTTACGACAACCCTGTCAGTGGGGCCTTTGAAAGTTTTGTATGGATCGTAATGTTACGTCAACTTGTGTATGGCATATAATAATATGTTTTGCGTAAGAACCTAACTTATGTGTGGATAGTTCATTTTGTTCAATACGACGGCGACGCGGCACTGCAATACTGCATTGAGGTTACAACTATCACAAGTAATAACACGGCTGCGTTGACGGGCAATTTTAACGCATTGCATTCTGCTTGATGTTATACGATGTACGAAATCGCTGAGTTTTTATATATTTGACGTTTCATATTTCCACAAGAGCTGCGGTTATATCAAAATCAAACCAAAATACTTTATTTCTTAAACCAATATTATGCATATTTCATATCCCCAGTAAGCAAGTTTATATGCTTTTGTCAGGAGCTCTCGCTCTTCCTCCTCCTCGAAATAATAACTGAATATTAACGTATATTTTACCTTGGAAGGGTACTTTATCTTGTTTTTGAGGTTAGTTAATCATCCTGAAACCAAGACTGACGAATCATTGTTTGAGCGACGACACTGTTTTTAAAGATAGGACCCCTTTGTCTTTCCGGAAATCTATTTATTATGGCACGTGGTAAGCAGCTAACTTGAATGGGCTGACGATCGCAATACATCAAAGTTAATAATGAAACTTGGACTACGAGTATTGCTCTTAGTGGTCTTATTGCTACGTAAATAAATGGGCTTTAAAAGGCAAATTGGGCCCACCAATGTGGTCTCCATTGTACGCCAAAGATTTAATCTCGATCCCTCCTGCTCGATATCGCTTCTATAAAAAATACGAACCTTGGGTCACCTTATTATAGCAAAACTTAGAATTTAGGGTTCCTTACTCAAAGCCTTCGCTACCCGTCCTTCCGTCTGCCCGTGGACTGATTTTCGTGAACTTTCTCTGGCGTTTAATTGAATTATTCATAGCATTTCTTTTTCTATTGCTGCTAAGATAAAAACAGTTAATAAATATTAACAAGTAGATCCTCAAAGTCATGGGAATGTGCAAAACCTGCCATTTGTAAATCCTCGGGACACAGTGACGGAATCCTTTCCGTATTTCCGTATTCCTCGGTAAATAATACTATCCTTATTAAACTTGGTAAAGAACCTTTAGTATGCGTGTCCAATTCGTAATTGACCTCTTTTTCATCCCGCTGAAAGGCAGAAAAGCTTTTCCTCTAGGAAACGTTTAGCATAAATTTTCTCCTTCATTGACAGGCGTAAACTTCCTTTACACCAATGCCTTATTTTGGAGTTGCGCGAGGGGGGATACAAGGAGGCTTCGAATTATCTACAAGATCTCATTTATGATAACGTTCAGTTGGTGGACGACGATGACATCGGGATAGTAGTCGATTTGAGAAACAGGCCTGATTACCTGGAACATATTACCACTAGTCTAATGAAAGCTGAAAAAGCGAGAGATAAAGGTATGCTGCATTGTGGAATAGTGACTTTTTTACTATTAATAGAGAATGCTTACAATAAAAATATTTTTTAAACTTTTTGCGATATTAGTCCAGTCAATGAAGGTTTTCACCTCCGATTTCGTTGAATTTCCATCGATTTTCATGAATATTGATGAGTAGGTGGGGGATACCTTAAGAAACAAAAGTGACATAATGCCAACTTGCGCTTTTGCCCTGGGGGTAGATGATACCCATTCTAGGAGGTGAAAATTATTTTAATAAAAAGAACTCCAGGAATCGATAGTGAGACAGATTCCGAGTAAAATTTGTTATATAAAGTTTTTAGAATAAATCAATACTTTCTGAGTTATTAAAGATCAAAGGTTGGTAATTTTCGTGATAAAAATACGTTTTAAAGCGGTTTTTCATAAATAACGCAAAAACTATGAGTTTTTACAAAAAAAAATATTATTTACAAAATTAAAGCTAATAAAAAATTAAATAAACCCCTATTTAGAAAAACCTTCTAAAAATTATTCAAAGTGAGCTATAGGTTATTGTAAGAGTATGTACATTTTTTTTCGGGGAGTACTTAAATTATTAAGTACTCACGGAAATATCTAAGAATTGAAGTATCTAAGTATTCAAACCTAAGTAACGGGAAACCGATGCATTTTATGACATATACTTTCTGAACATTTTTTAAGGTCCTTGAAAATACCTTTCTAATGAGCACTGTAAAAAGTTAATAGCATCAAAATTGAGCTAGTAATGTTAAAAATAAGAACACACTTTCGATTTTTTTTCGGAAAAAACGAATAATCAAACCTTCACCATTTCCAAAAAAAATCAAATTTACGGTTATCCCTATAAGGCTTTTTTTATTTTAGCATAAGTGATGACCTCAAAAAATTTAACCGGTTTAAAGCCCTTATTTTTAAAAGATAATGCGTGAAAGTGTTCCGGTTACATGGTTCTCACAGTAAAAGTTAGGCTTTAAACGTCTCTATCTCGGTTATTTTACATTCTATAAAAATAAAATATAAACCAAAATCTTTGTTAAAAAAAGAACCAAAATTTCTTCACTCAAATATTTTACTAATATTCAATATTTTTGAAGTTATTTTCAAAAGAAAATGAAATTTACGAAAATATAAAAAAAACGATTTTATTAAATCATACTTTTTTTGAAAAATAAGCATTTTAAACCGGGCAAAATTTTTGAGGTCGTTACTTATGCTAAAAATAAGTAATTCCTTTAGGGATAACCATTAATTTGAATTTTTGTGGAAATGGTAAAGGTTTTATTTCTTGTTTTTTCCAAAAAAAATCGAAAGTGTCATCTTATTTTTATCATAACTTGCTCAATTTTGATACTTTTAACTTTTTACAGTGCTCTAAGGAATTTAAAAAGTGTCCAGGAAGTATATGTCATAAAATGCATCGGTTTCCCGTTATTAAGGTTTGAATACTTCGATTTAAGTACTCGCCAAAAAAAGTATACATACATACATATATACAACTTCCTACAGCTCACTTTGAATTAATATTAAAAGGTTTTTCAAAGTAGTGGTTTCTTTGTTTTTTTAGTAGCTTTAATTTTGGTAATAATACATTTTTTGTTAAAAACTCATAGTTTTTGAGTTATTTATAAAAACCGCTTTAAAACATGTATTTTTATCACGAAAAATCACAATCTTTGGTTTTTAATAACTCAGAAAGTATTGATTTATTCCAAAATCTTTATATAACAAATTTTGCTTAGAATTTATTTTATCTATCGATTTCTCGAGTTATTTTAATAAAATAATTATCACCCCCCGGGCAAAAGCGCAAGTTGGCACTATGTCACTTTTGTTTCTTAAGGTATCCCCCCCCCCCACCTATTCACCAATTTTCATGAAAATCGATGGAGGTTCAACGAAATCGGAGGTTGTAGCTGATTTTTGCCTTCATTGACTGGACTATATAATGTTAAGCAAGAACAAATATTGACAAAGTTATAATGTTTTTATATATGTATTTATGATCTATTTTATTTGGGTTAGAGTGGTTAAGGTTAATCTTAAAAGATGGAAAGATGTAGAATAACGAGAAAATCTCCTTAGAAACTTCGTTGACACATATGAAGCTCTTTTTATGTGTTGCGAAATGTAAATAAACGGACTTGAGCTTATCGGCTTACGTACCTTTGCATATGTTATAGCTACATCAAAGCACTTTGTTCTAGTAACTTTCAATAATGTATTCCTTTGTTCAATAGGTGATAAAAAGAAGGAATGCTTAAAGCTTCTAAAGCTCGCCATGTATTACGCTGAAAAGGAAAAAGGTATATTGTGGTTATCGGAAAAGTTCTACTTGGCGACCATAGCTATTGCTAGCCAATACCTCGTAGACGGCGGCAGGCAAAAGGCGTGCTGCAAATATCATTATGCCAAATTCCTATTGGATAAGTGTAAGTCTAACTAGATCGACTATAGGATAATATTCCCTTTCCAATAATTTGTATTTTTTTTGTACAAAAACAATTGACCCTTTTTATTCTTCCGTGCAGTCCAAGCTGAAAACTTTTTGCATTCGTAGTAAGTAATTTATTGGGGTTAGTAGTGTAGGAAGGAAACTATAGAAACTATTATAGGTAAAATGATGGCACTTTTCAACTGTTTTTGTTTACCAACTTGATTAATACGGGCTGTGGTTTCCTTGATATATGGGAGCTTTGTTTAATGTTATTATTTATTTATCATGATGTCCCTTGCTGTTCCATAAACCCTCGAAGGTTATGACATAAATCTGGCAAAACTTGGAATGGTAAAATATAACATCAATGGTAAAAAAACTTGGTAAACATTGGAATAATAATTAATTTATCATTAATCAATGAATAGATTCGCGGAAAAGATTAAAAGTAGGCATCAGTTTTAAATTTATTTTTGTTTAATTAATTAAATTTTAAAATCAAATATAGAAATAAAACTGTTCGGGTATTTGGCGAACAACAAAGCCGTCCGCCCCGTAATAATTACTGTCGAACATTCGATTTTACCGTCTGGCTGTGCCGATTAATGCCGGTCAGCTTATGTGTGTAGCTACGATAAGATATTGACGTTGACCACAAACTAAAAAATAATAATAATATTAGTTACTTTTCATTAGAAAATGAAATACTTTATTTCTTTAATAATGTAGAAATTTACAATTTTGCTTAAGGACTTCTTTACTTAAAATCCTACAATCCTACAGGTATTATTTTACTGAAAAGGGGCCCTCTTTTAAGTAAAATAATACTTGTACGAGAGGATAAGATCATTAAAAGAGTCTTACAACTTATGTTCCTACGTTATTGTACTTCAACTAAAGCTAATATAAACAATAATATTTACACCTCCACAAAATATGTGTTGCGTTTTGTGCGTTTGCTTGTGTTTGTGTGTTTTGTGTGTGTGTGTATTTATGGGTACATTTATTAAACGATTTTTACAATTATTTTACAGTCTCTAAAAAGTTCAATCTCATAGTTAGTTAATTAATTGCATTAAATAACTTGTAACTGCTTTTTAGGGTTCCGTACCTCAAAAGGAAAAAACGGAACCCTTATTATCACTTTGTTGGCCGTCCGCCCGTCCGTCTGTCAAGACCGTTTTTCTCAGGAACGCGTGGAGGTATCAAACTGAAATTTATATCTAATACTCAGGTCTACTGTCCCTTAGAGCTGTGAAAAAATCTAACTTCTAAGCCAAAGCAATCAAAAGATACAGCCGTTTATGCCGCAAATTTCCGCAAATTTTCGAAACTCTCACGTGAATCAACACCTATTTCCCGTGAACTTAGAATCTTAAAATTTGGTATGAAGTAACGTCTTATAGCACAGATAAAGGAAAAATTGCGAAAACCGTAAACTTTTAGTTACATCATATAATAAAAAATATTTTTGAAAATTTTAAAGTTACTACCTCACAGGTTTGTACGGAACCCTCGGTGCGCGAGTCCGACTAGCACTTGGTCGGTTTTTTTACACTCAAGATACTTCACAGTATATACGTCAATTTGGTCATTAATAGATATCGTCGGTTACGGCCCGTCTTGTATACTGCCTACAAGCAAAATCCGTTTTTAAATTGTCTTTGCAAGGTATTTTATATTTTCTTCTTCTATTTAGATAGCAGTAATGGTTTAGAGATACTGGTTTTATGTTTTTTTAACTTTGTTGATAGTATGTACAGTTTTCTAACCAAAAGGAGACCACTCAACTTGTGCATTTTTTTTAATGTGCATGCTGTTGGTCGCAGATGACCTTTACAGCGTCACCGGGTTTGGGGACGACGAGATCCTAAGGGGACCTCAAGCCGAGAATTGGCGTGTGCCACTAGTGGTATTCTAGGCGGTTGGCATCTCCCCACGGGAGAAGTCTCCTCTCCGTCTGGAGCCTCTAGACCACTCGAACCTGAGGGGTTCAGCTCAACTAGAGGGCGTCTCTGAGACTCGGATCTCGGCTCTAGTTGGCCGTTGTCGTGGGGGGCGGGGAAAAACACCCAGGTACGTGGTCTATCTGTACTTGGTATAGCATGTCGTGTGTAGACCAGGTCTTCACACTCTTATCCTACGGGTGCGGTGTCTGCATTCTGTTAAGCTAGTGTACAAGTATGCTAGCTCTGTAGTGTTGGTGTTTGTGGCCTGTGTGGGCGGAGTCGAAGACGTCAACTTGTACAATTCCGTGGTACTGTATTTATACGATTTAAAATACATAACTTTGACTAGAGACCTCTGAGCTCTTTTAAGTTGCAAGAACTTGTCTTAGGGGCGCCGCCCCATATTGAAATACTGTGCCCTAAAACAGATTGAGCCGAAGCTACATAAATTTTATTCAAAAGACTTTTTGAACTCCCATGTCTTAGCGTTTTAAGAATCCATATCAGCTTTTTCAAACGTGCATACCTTAATTCGAGATAAGACCAGGTCATTTGCTGGTCTAAAGTGATACCTAGATACTTATTTATTTATCTGAGGACAACAATAAGAAGAATTTGGTATGTTATTGCAATTGTGATTTTTTATACTAAAGTCTGTTGTTGGTTGGGTGCTGTTATACATAATAATGCACATGTAGTTTGTTTTGGAAATAATTAACGCAAGTTGATTCTGATTTAACCATTTGACTACCCTAGCTAGATCCAATTCCACAGTGTTTTGTACAGATTCCCAAGTGTCCTCCGTAAAGACAATAGCGGTATCGTCAGCATAAGCAAAAAAATTGCCATGTATAAGCTTCATAGTGAACAGTTCGTTGACATATATTAGGAATAATGTTGGGCCAAGTACAGTACCATGTGGAACACCGTATTCATTGAGATGGATATCTTATTACTTCTCAAAGAACCGATTTTTGGTAACAGTTTTCTGATAGTAAGATAGCTGGTGAACAATGGCAGAGCTTTATTCCTAATCCCAAGACCCTCCAAACGTTTAAGAAAAATAAGAGCATCAAAACAAGTATAATTCATAGCATGTTTGTTTGTTTAACTTTTGATTTGAAAACTGGTGACGTGTGACGTAGATCCATAAATTTAAAATAATTTTCCATCTAATTAATGGGTATGACGTCATAAGTATTTTGCGTGACATTTCGCGGAAGCCCAAAACACCGTAGGCTTTATGATGGTTGATTTTATTGCTTTATAAATACACCTGTTTCATGGATAAATAGTTGGAAGCTTTTATTTAAAAAAAATATGTTAAGTATGGCAGGTTTCCATAAAAATATAACGCGTCCCATAAAAGAATGAGAAATAATGATTTCCACATTGATTCCAAATACGATTATGGTACATTTATGTTTAATAAGTAAAACTGAGGAAATAGGAAGTAGTACTTCATGTTACATACTGTTGGATTTTCTTAATAATAGCAGTTATAAGCATATACTTATTTGGTTTAAATAACAAAAGAAAAGAGATTGAACATTAAATTATCCCGTCAATTTGGTGGATTATTTGTTATTGTGTAAGCTGTTTGTTATGTATTCCTCCTTGATGAAGAAAAAAGAGAATCTCTTTTATTATTTTCTAACATACTTAATATTTAATATAATAAGCATAAATAAACCTACTCCATCGACACATGTCATGGCAAGGCGGGAATATATGTGTGTGTATGTGTTTGAGTATGCTTTGAAAACCTTGTCGGTTTATCCCCGTTTTATCTTTTATATTAACTATTGAGTTTTAATGTTACAGTTCCAGGAGCAGACACAGATGAGCCTTTTGTTATACTTACTGAGGTTAGAGACAGCGCTATAGGAAAGGTACCTATATAAATCTTCTGTTGTTGACTTGTAATAGTTTATAAGTAGAAAAAAATAAAACAAATAGTTTAATTTTTTCTACTCAGAGTTTTTATATATATTAAGATTTGCAACAATTTTTTTTGTCAATGAAACTACTGGATCCCCAAAATTGAGGTAACAACAAAGTAAAGGATTTGAATATTGTACCGTAGTACCCGGGAAATTTTTAGCGCCTTTAGACCAATAAATTATTTTGTCTTCTACACATCACACATCTTTGCAATTTGCAGTGCACACAGACTTTGCACATAAAGTGATAATTTGCTCCCTGTTTGAGCATAAATGAAATAGCGCCTTTAGACCAATAAATTATTTTGTCTTCTACACATCACACATCTTTGCAATTTGCAGTGCACACAGACTTTGCACATAAAGTGATAATTTGCTCCCTGTTTGAGCATAAATGAATAGAACAGTGGTTAGCGCTTTCAGTCTACGATCGTGGAAATCAATCAATATCGCAATGGCCGGTCATGAAATGATTGGCCGAAATATTATTATCTAAGCTTTTCCTTGCTTGGGACGGCACGGCAGCGGCTTCGGAGCTGTTGGTCCTGGCTGCATCTGCAGCCGCTTAAACCCACTAATCAGCACTGCGCCCGCTTTGTAGCTCAATCTTTATATTACTCCTATAGGAAAAGTCTGTGCCCCGGCAGTTTGGACAGTAATGGGGTTATTCTAATGATATGTTAAAATATTTGATTAAAGCAGCCATAGAAAAGGTGCGATTAATAATTTGCATGACCTTTAAAATTCTGATCAGACCTTAGAAATATTAATAAACCGTACAGTGAAAAAACGTGTCTTTCTACTATGTATAAGAGGACGACCAGGCGTGGCGAGGGCTTTCACCCTTATGTTGTCCAAGTTCCTCCCATCCGCACGAAGCGATTTGCTTCCGCTTTCATTATGCGAACGGCTAGGGAGTGGAACTCCTCACCGAGGTCTGTTTTCCCGGACCGATATAACATCTTCAAGGCCAGAGTGAACAGGTATCTTCTAGGCAGGCGTGTACCATCGGAGGCCTCATCATCGCTTTCCATCAGGCGAGATTTTGGTCAAACGCCTTGCCTATTAAACATAAAAAAAGAACAATAAATTACTTACAATGTATTAAATAAGCAAAGTCTGAATATCTAAGAGAACGTTTTTCGTTTTAATTGACGACATGTTGTTTTTGTTCGATCCCCTAATCGGGTTGGTCGACTTAACTTGCCAATCAACAATCCATGTCTCATGTGATGTCTGAACTCAGGGTTTCGAGTTAAGTGTCAGGTCAATGTATCCATTTTTATAACATGTTTGGACTTATTTATATTCATTTATTGATATTCTCTTTTCTTCTCTTGAGTCTTAATCGAAACTAAGTGGTCTTGTTTTATAATGGATTTTTTAATATTAAATGTCATTTTATAACCAACAACTACCAGAAAATACCTACTACCTACCAGGTCAGTGCATTCGCCCGGATTGCGAAGGGTGCGGGTTCGAGTCCCGTCTGCTGCCTGGTCCGCGTGGAATTTTTTTCTAGTTATATTTTCTTTAGATTTAAACATCAAGCAGTTCCATGCTTTAAAAATAATAAAAATTATAACTACCAGAAAAGTTAATGACAATACAACCCTCTGACAAAAAAATTAGAGAGCGGAACCTTTTATACGCGAAAATCTTGAAATCCACAGCGAAAATGATATTTTTGATTATTGACAGGGTTTTTGTCAAATAATACGATTCATTGTTTACCTTAGGACTGGCCGCTGTACGAAGTTGGTAGTACCAAGGATGTGTCGGAAACATCTGAGACCGTGTTTGCTGTGACAGCTAAGCAGTTGCACAGAGTGATGCTGAGTAAAGCTAGGGAAGTCAGAAAACAAGACCCGGCAAAGGCCGAAAGACTTTCTCGCTTGGCAGAAAGAAGAGCCAAAGATGGTATGATCGTTTTTTCCAATACTCCGTGCATCCAAACATTTAGAGTTAAAAACTGGCATTCGAAGAATTTATTAAAAACTGTTCTGATACAATGTCACACTTTCCTTGTACCCTACTTCCTTCTAATATTATAAATGTGAAAGTTTGTATGTTTGTTACTCAAATTCACAAAAAACTAGTAAACGGATTTATTTGTATGAAATTTGGTACCTTTGCATATAGTTTATTACCTGGATGGAGAATAGTTTTTATCGCGGAGAAACAATATAAATAGCTATAATAATTGTAATATAAATTATTAGAAAGATTTTTTGTCCGTAGGCTTTATAATAATAACAACAAACATGGTGTAAGTCGGTTTTATTTATTCAGTGTCTTTTTCCTTTTGTCTTTGTCCAATTAATAACTTAAATGCCATTGTAGTGGTGTAAACTGAAAACATTAAGTTTAAGTAACTACTTACTGTTTTTTATTTTATCAGTGAGAAAGGCATGGCATGTGCAAAATATTATTAAGGCATTGAGGTATTATATCTAACGATAGTCCTATCTTATACAGTACATTGTCTCTATTTTTATACTTTAATATTATTCTATTTTCTACTTAACTGAGGACATTTTTATGTTTGTTACTCAAACATATAAATGTTTAAATTCATAATATTAGTGAAATTGCTATAAATTTACATGTCTGAGAGCAGCCGTCGTTTCGTGTACAAATAATACTTGATTTCTCTATTTATAATATTGTTACTTAGCAACGTACTGTAGCGGATTTAAAATTATTATAGCAGTGAAATTGTAATTCGATATTGCATTCTGCTATCACAATATGGCAATATCAAAACAAGCACGTTCTTTTGGTTTTTATAAGAATACGTAAATTTTGCCTACCTACCTTTCTGTAGGCAGATAAGTACTCAAGTTACATTATGTTGTTTCGCCTTCAACTTCAAAAATGTAAATAACTCAAAAAGTATTATTTTAAATACACAAAGGTGGTGGTTACTTATACTTCAACATATTTCTCGTCCACAGTTATGTCAATATGGACTTCCTATGAGGTTCTTGTAAAACGTACTTACAAGGTTGTTGAAGTGTATTCCGAAAATTTGTCAATGCATTTGTTTTGTTGGGTATTTTTACACAATTGCCAAAAAAACAGTACAGGTGATAGAGATGTTTTTGCGCTTTTATGTTATTTATTAATTCACGTTATTTATTATAGCCGATGACATTGATAAAATTGCGGAGGCCATCATAGAGATCGGGATCTGTCAGCTGATGATGAACAACTTGAATAATGCCCAAAAAACATTTGAACGAGCTTTCAAAATCCATTCGGAAAGTATGAATATCGAAGGATTGTGTGAAACTAGAATGCATCTCGCCGCTGTTATGCAAAAGTAAGTCTATTTCAGTTATTACGCTGACTGCGAAGAAGCGACTAACTATCGGCTATTTTCTCGTTCAAAAAACAAACAATAAATCTACATTCCGTGTAAACAAAAGAGAAGCATATAGGTATGTATTTATAATTGATCGCTGACTGTTCACAAGACCTATCAAAAATAATAAATACTAGCTCAGCAATGCTCGCTTGGTCGTCAAAGCGTGTATTTTTGATCAATTCTGTCACCTTGAGTGAGTGCCGCGAGTAATCGCCCGTTGTACTCGCACACTCGCTTATAGCCCAGCAATAAAACTATCGGAACTACACACTCGGTTCCCGCTGCTCGCCAACTAGTTTATAGTAGGGGTGGGCATTTTTAGAATAACGATGCGCGATGACGATGCCAGGTTTGGATGCACGCATCCGATGCGACTGGATGCCGGTATTGGATGCCGATGCCATCTAGTTTTTATCAACGTTACTATACCAACAGTGCCCCAAACTTATCTGTGCCGGTGGAGATGTCGCTAGCAATGAACAAATATGTAAAAATGCTATGGATAAACTGTAGTTCAAATTTTTGCCATCGCACACAAAAGTTTGTGCCACTGGACTGCGTTCAAAACCTTCGCTCTGAGTGCAATTTTTATGTACATTTTGCCAGCATTTAATATTATCAGTTACCATACCGAAAAGTAAATAAATGGTTGCGATTACATTTTCAAGTCATGATTCATGGAATCAAAGAGACTCACCCACACAAAACACGCATCGGCATCGGTCGTAATTCATATCGCATCGTATCCTATGATACTACCATACCGACATTAACTTGGCATCGATGCGCGCATCCGATGTGGCTTATCTGATACCGATGCGCATCGTTTTCACAAATATCTAAAAACGCCCATCTCTAGTTTCTAGCTCTACTCGCTTTTCGGCGGTGGAACAAGTGCCTAATTCATAGACAACACCATACCATTAATTATATTATGAGACACATACATCAATGTTATGTTGGTTAGTATTAGCGAGAAACAAGCAAATACCCCTGTTATTCTATTTATATTATAAGAAGGATGGACACGCCATTCTTTGTTGTATTTATTAATTAACATGGCTACTAGATAGTTCTTATTGTTTCATGTCTTATTTCTAAATAGTTATTTGAACTGTTTTCTGCTGACCATTTTATTGATACAATTTAAAAAAAAAAGGAAGGAACCGCCGTGGTGCTGAGCTCTCTGGTAGGAACCAATAAAGTATCTACGCTTGGGCCAATACATTAGGTTGATTGATTTTAAAAAGTGCATGCATTCATAAAAAAATGTCTTTATTTTTAGTGTAATAAAAATAAACAGTTAACCAAATAAATTGTAAAATAAATAGTACGTACCTTTAAGGCGGAAGAGAAAATTTTGATCTTCGATAAGAGATTTTCATTTCATTCCAGTCTTCGTCATTATTACTTAAGACAATGTTATAGGTTAGGAGATCACGAAATGGCCGCCAAATTGCTGACTGAAATGGGTGCCCTCGCTATGGAGTACAAGCTACGCAGGCAGCTGGGGCGCGCCCTTCACCTGCTTGGCGAGCTCCATCTCAGAAGGGAGCGACCTGAGCTCGGTACCCAGCACTTGGCTGAGGCCTTCTCCTGTTTTATGGGTACCACGTACCAAGACGTAGGTAGAGGATCTAACTTCTGAACATATATTTTATAGTACATGAAAGGCTTTACAGTTGTTTGGCGAGTTCCGCCTCAGAAGGGAGTGACCTGAGCTCAGCACGTAGCACTCGGCTGAGGCCTTTTGTATGCTTCATGAGTACCACGTAGCAAGACGTAGGTAGAGGAACTATCAACTGAACATATATTTTATAGTCCATCAAGGGCCCTACACTTGGTGGACGAGGTACATCTCAGATCAGAAGGGAGCGACCTACGCTCGAGGCAGCACTTGGCTTAGGCCTTTCCCTGCCGTTCCGTTTTTTTGCTTGTTTATCTAAAATTTATTTTAATTTCTGGAGAATGTCCCAATTAGTTTTATTGGGAAATAGTCAACCAGCTTTTATACCTATTTGAAAAAATCCACTACCAGCTATTGTCGCGTCTCGACTCTACCAACCCTTAAAATCAGGAGAGAATTACACCATCATTTATTTATTTATTTATTTATTTATTTATACTTTATTGCACAAAAGTATGTACAAGTGGCGGACTGAAAAAGAAAAGAAAAATAAATTTACTATATTCCTATATATAGTAAATTTATCTTTATATATATAATTCTTCTGTGAGTGTGTATGTCACTGAACTTCTCTTAAACGACTGGACCGATTTTGATGAAATTTTTTGTGTGTGTTCAAGGGGATCTGAGAATGGTTTAGATTCACAATTTTGTCCGCTGGACAACCCCTATTTTTTTAGGGCGGTACGAAGTTCGCTGGGTCAGCTAGTTCCTATATATAGTTTTATTTTGGTGGGTAAATGATGGTGTAATTCTCTCCTGATGTTAAGGGTTGGAGTCGAGACGTGACAATAGCTGGTAGTGGATTTTTTCAAATAGATGTAAAAGCTGGGTGATGCATTTTTATAAAAGTAAAAAAAACTGATTTTATAAACGGAACCAGAATAAACTTACCTTTTTTACTCGAATATAATTATTGAAATTAGACGTAAGCCATCATCAAATTAATAAAAATCAATTTGACGTATACGCCTAACAGACATACAGAACGAGTTATTTTTACAAAGCGGATGTATTTTTGAGAGTTTATGCAAACAAACTGTGTCATTGACAAAATTTACGGCAATACTTCGTTATTGTTAGTTTTTCTTTTTGATATCAACAGGAACCTAACAGTTTTACGGGTTGTTGTTTGCCAAATTTATCCAATTTCGTTGAGCCTTTATGTGGTAAAAAATATCTAAAAATAAAAACTTTAACATTTATATTAAGATTCTTAGTAATTTTTTTTTTTATCTTTAGGATACTGAAACTGGTTTGGATATTGTACCAAGCAAAGAGGATGGAAAAGGAGAGTTCATATTTCAAACGGGCACAAGAGAAATCTATGAGGAAGAAGCTGAACAATCGCGGCTCATGATGGCGATATCAGCAGGTGAGGAAAACGTTAAAGTTGTGATCAAGGGTGTCGCCAAGGGGGGGCAAGTGGGGGCAACCTTAGACGTTAAAAGTGCAGCCAAATGTAAAGCAACCAAAGTCCTATATTCACTTTTTCTACATACTTGCCCCCCTAGACCATCACCAGGCGACGCCGTTACTTGTGATTTTATTAAATAATACGTCATAATTACGTGTTCGGCCTGCGATTGTGGAAGTTAAGCAACTTTCGCCATGGCTGGTCACAGGATGGCTGACCAAATATTCATCTTGATCTCCTCTGTGCTTCAGAAGGCACGTTAAGTCGGTTGTCTCGGCTGCATCTGCAGTTGTCAGAACCGACTTGTACCCCGGACACGCGTGGAGGGTCGAGGCCAAATCTTCTTAGTTCATACATAGAAAAGGCCTGTGCCCCAGTCGGGACATTAAATAGGCTGCTGATAATAAATATGTCCTTAATTTATAAGAAGATATCTACTGGTGTCCTGGGTTCCCACGCAAAACCCCCGTTTGTTTTGGAAAGCATGCCGATTCCCAAGGGAAAGAAATAAGAAAATACAGAAAAGGAAAATTTTGCGTTTTAAAATCCAAAATACGTAGTCACAGGGATGGAAGGATTGTTAAAGGGATGGCTTATTTCGCTACGCCACGGATATAAAATTTAAAGGAAAAACAATTTTCCGATCGTATCCATCTTATTGGCTATGCATATTTATCCAGAATTTCTTATGTGCATATGAAAAATTGGACCTGGAAATACTGTTTCATACCGAAATTCATCTAAACCTACACCGATTAGTGGCCCTCGGGCTGCTCGCTGGCTGAATGCACCACGCAATTACCTGCGTCGCGAGGGTTTGTTAACAGCAAACCAACGCGGCGTTGGTCATTGTTGTGGATATAATGCATTTTTTCGGCAATCATTCATGCCGAAACTGTAACAGACAAACTGACAGACAGATTAAACTGCTAAATAGATTTTTTAAGTTGGCTCTATGTCAGTGAGATCTAATTTACAGCTGATTTCCAGAGATCTTCAGAATTACATAAAGGAAACAATACACCCTTCAATCCCAAAGGAAAATTGAATTTGTGTCACACAAAAGATTGAACTCAATACCGAGTAAATTGATTCCCTTTTTACGTGTTGTTATTTTTAAACATCGTTTCATTGTAATTGGTGAATAAAGTATTGTGAATTAATTTTTATCGTTAACTTTGTAGGTACCTACAAAGTTATTTTTTAAAAAAGAGATGTAAAACGGGAATCTATCAATCAATCAATCAAGTAAGATTTGCTTATTGTCGGTCATAACAACAAAGCCAAAATGCACTATACCTGCTTTCAATTTATTTAATGCTTGCGTAGCAGGCTTAAATTTTACTAACATTTTGTTTTCGACATCAGCAATATCCCCTTATCCCAGTAGTGTCTAGCTACTACTACTTGCATTTTAAATGAACAAGAGTAGGTTTGGTCATGAACATTTAAAATTGTGATAATATGTTGGCGGACGTGACTCAAAAATGTAAGGATATTAAAATTAAGCTATTACTTAAAATATGTCGTACACATAAAACAAACTTGTTCAACGGCTTTCCGAACACGTTAACAGGTAGTACCAGCAAAGTGCGTCAAGAGGCGTTATAAAAAAATATATGAAAAAGAACGCAAAAAACCAGTTCAAATTCGCAATTTTTTTAAACTATTTACGTAAAGGTGGACTTAACAAATCAAATCTTAACCTAGTAGACACGTGAGTTAAATTTAATGCTCGACAAAGTCACGCATTGCCTATTGCAAAGACAGTGAAATCATCGACGTTAATCAAACTTAAAATGATGTATCTGAATGTGAAAGTTAGTTTTAGGTAATCATAGGTTATGAGATGTTAAGAGGTGGATTGGGCCATTTAGGGTTCCTTTTTTTCGGAATATATAAGAATGATTTTGTAGCTTATTTTATTTGATGTTGCTTGAATTATTTATTAAAGTTATGTCATTTTAAAGTACCAATAAAATGAAAAATATGCATGCTTATTAAGTTATATTTACATTACAGAATGGCGGCCGCCCGTGTCTCTCTCCGCGTTAATTTTACATTTTTGGGAATCCTATAGGAGGAACCGAATACTTTTCCAGGATAAAAAGTAGCCTATCTCTCAATCCAGGTCACAAAATATATGCGTACTAAATTTCATCCAAATATGTTCGGTAGCTTTTGCGTAAATGAGTAACAGACATACAAACTTTCATATTTATAATAGTAGTAGGATGACTTTGATTTTTCAAATAGCAAGAGGTAATAATTTATTAAGAGTGAATTAAGTTGTCCTCAATAATATTAACTTTATCGTAGGTCAAGAACTAATGGCCTCTTATTTCGAGTTGCTAAGAGAGGCGGGATCTTGTGCAGTGGCTCAAATGAAAATCATTGAATGGAAACTGTCTCGCTCGGGCTGGTGGGTCAAGAAGAAATCTCACGACTTTGTGCCCTGTATGTGTGAGATGCACAATCGAACGCCACTGGATATACTGCAGTAAGATATTACAATAACATAGTTTAAGCATTAACTAGTGACTTGCCTCTCGTATAGACTATGTACACACCTTATTCCACAAAAGTTACTAAAGTTGAACTTAGTTTAATCCTACTGCTGTCTCTGTCTTTTTTTAGCAAACAAGGGTAACAGAATTATTTTTAGACTAGGCTTAGCTTTTGTCAATCTTTTGTAATAAGGCTGTATGAGTACTTGCTTTCTTATGGAACTTTTCTTTTCATATCTTCCATGAAAAAATATCTAATTGACAGTGATAGTGATCGCCGTATGAAAATCTGGACAACAATAACACGGCGGAGAACTTTGTTTTATAATATTAACTAGTAGTACGTTTGTAATTGACGGAAAATTGCATGTTATGTTACTGTAGTCTTCTATGCCTTTGCCTCATAAACGGGGCGTGCTTAAGCTAGTAGTTACATGTGTTGTTTCTTTGATGTCGTTTGAATTAAGCTATATTGATATGACGTTTTTTATAGAGAATATTTATATTTAAGTAGTAAAGATATTATATAAGTTTATGCTGTTACGAATTGTTGTGAAAATTCGACAGTTGTGCTAATTAAATTTAGCGACGTCCGTGGCCGAGTGGTTTGTACGCCGAGTTTCATGGTGTCGCTGACTCGAGAGGTCCCGGATTCGAATCCCAGTCTGGGGCCGATATTTGTGTGATGAATACGAGCATTTGTACTCCTTTGTGTATATAACTATACTTATATAATGTACAGTATATGTATTCTTTCCGTTACCCTAGTATCCCATAACACAAGCCTTACAGTTCTTACTTTGGGGCTCTTTTATATATAAATAAAACGCAAGCATTACTGAGTGATCTATGATTGTGATTGCGCTGAAATTTGGAACGTGTATAGCTATGTATTAAAGTGTAGGCGTGCGCTATGAATGGATTTCCCTAATTCACCTAAACGGATAAAACGAGGGTTCAAGGTATGTATGGGAAACCAATATTTCCACGCAGACGAAGTCGTGGACACCCACTTGTCATATTATATTTATGATTGTATTTAATATAATCTCATATATATAATTCTCGTGTCACAATGTTAGTTACCATACTCCTCTGAAACGGCTTGACCGATTTTTATGAAATTTATATGCATATTCTGTAGGTCTGAGAAGCGGCTACTATCAATTGTTCATACCCCTAAGTGATACGGGCTGGTACCACTAACATATATTTTTTTATTTTTTATAATCTGACATTAAAAATACATACAACCCTAAATTTTTACCCTTCTTCCGCAAACTCCCAATTTTATGGCGGTACGAAGTTCGCTGAGTCAGCTAGTTGTGTTATATATGTTTATGTATATAGGTATATACTCCTCGAGGAGCTCGATGCGGCAGTGAGCGCGTTTGGTCTGCGATCGTGAAAATTAAGCAGCTTTCGCAATAGCTGTTCATGAGTATGGGTGATCAAAAATTTATTATCTTCGTTTCTTCGTGCTTCGGAAGTTAATGCCGTTGATTCTGGCTCTAGCTTCTTTCGTTAGCACCAATCCGCACTGGGCCGCTGTTGTGACCCCTTCTCCCTATTCCCTCGGGTAAGATCTGTACTCAAGCAGTGGAGACATTCATAGGCTGATGATGATATGACTATTTGTGACCTAATGCAGCGGCTATTTTCAAATCTATTTATTTTAAACAGAGTCATCAAGTTACAATATTAATTTGATTAGTCTACGTAGCATTTTTGCTACGTAGACTAATTAAAATAAATTAATATTAGTGATGATAAATTCAACAACAATGAAATGCATGAGTAATAATTTTCAAGCCGAGGACATTAACAAATAATGCAGTGTCGTACAGTTCAGACATGAATAAACTTATACATACAAAAGAAACACAATATCAAGTCCAGTGCTAATTTGCATTTTGCTATTAAGTTGCCAGAATATTTGTTTTTTTTTTTCTTTCATTTGCTTATTTACTTTACCGTCGTATTTTTCTCCGTTTAGCCCGATGGTTGACTGGTAGAGAATGCCTTATGGCATTGAGTACGCCATTTGTTTAACGACAATAAAGACTAAATAAATAAATAAATATTTTATGTAAGGAGAATAGTTTTGACATACAATTCTTTCTATGATATCTGTACTTACCGACCAGCCTCAATATTGCACAGATAGAATGAAAATAAGAAAAAAATATCTAGATTTAAAAATTCAAAATCCCGACCCCAATTTCTGAGTTTTCTGTCTTCCGGTAATTTTAACTACCTTCATTTGGGACCGATTTCACATAGAGTATTAACAAAAGAATAATTCAGTAAAATTTTATTTTTTAATGCTGATTTTATAGATTTTCTTCTTGTGGTTTTGTGCCGCAGCCCAACTACTAAGGTGACTATTTCATGAAATCATTTCGATTCAGTTTCGAGAAAGCAATTCGTAATAATAATAATTTATTGCTCATTCATGTTGTGATACAAAGGAGTTACAAAGGTTAATGTTCATACATGAACCCAATTTGTTCTTCACAGACAGAGGCGGGCTATTATTTGGTCTGTTTATGTAATATATTAATTATACTTATATTTTATATTTAAATTGACTAGTCCATGTCATTAGTCTAATTTAAGTCAACATTTTTAAATATAGGAAATAAATTAATTTGGATTAATTAATTGAATAAACATTGTTCCAAGCCTCTTTGGGACTATATTATATAAGTACTAGCATAAATATAATAGCATTATTTAGCAATTTACTTACTTCTCACAAGGCAAATGACAAATCAAGACTTAAACTTATTAAATATATTCTTACTACTAAAAATTTTCTAAAAACAACGTTATTTCAATGTAACTTCATTAAAACGATACCAAAGAAACGCCAATAGCTACTTAGACTCGCTCCGTGTGTGTGGTAGGGGCATATCCCCTCATTTACACTATGAAACAAGTCATATACTAGTTTTATACAAAACTCGTAGAATACTTGTTGTGACTGCTTAAAACTTTATTTCGTTACACTGCATATATAACTAGTACCTTTACAAGTATAAATCACTATTCACTTCATATATTATGTTATTTATCCAATAAGTTTGATGCAAGTATTGTATGCTACATGTTTTATACATGTATATAAATGTGAACAAAAACATGAAGACATTGTAAATTTGTTAAATACATGCCTTGATGTAAGCGAGGGGTAAGAAGACTATAGTAACATACCTTACGATTTTCTAAGAAAAGTTCGTTTAAAGGTAGCTACAAACGTACAACTATATGTACTATATTCAATTTCTTCTGAGACAAAAGGTAAACAAACCATAAACAGGTTTTTCAATAGCTCGAATTTAATACGCATATAAAAACATAATTTAAAAAAATTACATTAAAAAAAAGGAAATTTATAAAATTAAAAACCCCCCAACTGCTTAAATATTACTTGAAAACTGTAAAGAAAAAAACAAGTCCAGTAGTCTATAATTCTGTTTAGTAAGGAACAAAGCTAGTTTAACAGTCGGGACCCGTTATTGAAAAAAAAAGATCTATTTTTGAATATCTAGGTAGGTTAGGATTTTTCTTTCTCACACTCTTACTGATCGAATGGTAGAGAATGCCTTAAAGAAAATATTTACTTGAAAGAAAAACAACACTCCAACTTCTCCTAGAGGAACTTTTCTAGTAAACATTTCATTATATCGGAGTGAAAAAGGCTTTATTTTATTCTGTTAAAATAAATTTCGCAAGTGCAATCTCTAGTATAATATAATATTAAAGGTGCGAAAATGAGTTTGTTTGTTACGATTCGCGCCTTAGTAGCTAACTCGATTACTATAAATTTCCCTATAGCAGTAGATGGGACCTTGGTTCTAAGGTACATTATCGAAATACTTATTGGTCACCTCTAAAACTTTATATTATTTGCTTTGAATTTTCTAAAATTATCGTATGTAATTACAAAATCAACATTATCCCGAACTGATTAATAAAGACAGGGAGACATTATGTATGTACCTACTAGCGAATAATAGCTTATTTATTTCTCATTATATTAAGTAACCCTTATGTAACATGAAGGAATGTCGTTAAAATAAACTAAAAAAAACCAATTGTGAGTTCTTCATTAAATTTTAATAATCATAAATACCTATTATGATATAATTTATTATTCATAATAGAATAAGAAAAACCTTTATCACAGCTCTATTGTAAGTACTACATATAGGATTAGATACTGCGAGTAGCCCATTTTTTCCTCCTGGTTTAACCTACGTTTATGTACACTAAAATTCATCAAAATTTCTATTCCCACTATTCCTGCAGTCTACTCCTTCATAGTACACCGCGCTATCATTTTGTCATCGTTATAGCTTTTTATTAAATATCTGTCGCAATGACATAGTGTTAAATGTATAGTTTATCGTCTTTTTATATCAAAAGCGATAAAAGTATTTCTTTTAATAAAAATATTTGTAATACATTTTTTTTAAAAAACCAATTAGCCTAGCCCCAAAGTAAGCACTGTAAGGCTGTGTTATGTGATACTAGGGTAACGGATAGAATACATATACTGTACATATACACCGTGTTCCTGAGGATATACATTAACTTTGAATAATACTTCTATAGCTCTTGTTAAAGATATCGTACAAAGAAAGTGGTAGTTTAAATAGCATAGTTTTTAAGTTATTGGTAATTTAAGTTTAACCAACTCAATTGTGTTGTGCAGTGAGAATGAGTTTTTATTCTGTGAGATGTTGCCACTTTGTGCAACCAAAAATATTATACTATCAACTCTTTGTCAATGGTCATTAAGTCATAGTTTCAAAAGTCAAAATTTTAAAAAACGTTGTTGACGTCAAGAAAAAATTCAAAAAGTTTATGTGAACATGTGAACCAAAGTTTCAAATGCGACGTTGCCAGCTCAGGTAAAGAGTAATTCATATTAGATAAATTACATCTAAGCATTTAGTTTGTATGAAAATAAAAAATGTTAAAGAAATTGGAATTCATAAAAGTGTCCATAGTAAAAAATGATTAATTTAATAGTCTGAATAACATGCTATGCAAGTTAGTGTATAACTTCAGGAACACGGTGTATAAGCATATTATTTATTTAGAATTACATATGAAACATCCATGACTGGAGTACAAATGCTCGTATTCATCACACAAACATCTGCCCCACCGGGATTCGAACCCGGGAGCTCTCGAGTCGGCGACATCATGAAACCCGGCGTACAAACCACTCGGCCACAGAGGTCGTCATGAAAATGTGCATTTTGGAAATGGATATCAATTAATATTTTATTTTTGATTCACTATTTTAGCGGTAATGGCTTACATATTAGATACATGCTGTCTCGGACTTTTATGTACAACTATTTATGAGATATATTTCCGCTTTACATTATATTCATGTAACCTTTATTGTTTTTATATGTATTACGTGACACTTATTGTTATATTTTGGCCAATTCACTCAATAACTACTTCAATTATTATCTATGTGTTACTATTATAGTATGAGCTACATTATTGTTAAGTTCCATTAAAATCTATTTAGTATTTTTTGGGTGAAAGAGTAACAGACCCATACAAAAGAAAGATTTAAATTAAAGCGCAATCTAATATACATACAATTTTAAATGGTTGTTGATGATAAACAGTCAAACAAAATGAAAAATTGTGTAGGGAACCTAAACATGATTTACGATTATCTAGACAATGATGCTCGACATATTTCATTAACTTATTTTTTTTCGTTCTCGGCAACTAATTGTCCTCATATTAAATTTCGATTATTATCATATCTTTAGTAGCACTCCCATGATTAGACGAATCTATTGACGTATGAAGCATCAAAATCGGTCCACGCGTTTGGTCTCTTAGTGTGCCACAAAGGAACATACATACATATTTAGACTTTTAAACACTATACCCTGTCTGCGCATAGCGCTTCGCGCTTTTGCATGGCGCAGACGGGTAATAATAAAAAGACATAAAACATATATTATAATACTACTAAATTAAAAAGTAGTAATATAGCAAATAATAATTTACGTTGAAATGTGATTTTTTTTAACCAGTCCGGTTACACCGGTCATATTTACTCTCGATAAAAAAAAAATGGTTGCCTGTAAAGTAGGTTTTACGGGCGAAGATTTTACGTGACAACGTCTTTTTCTCGGTAGAATATTTATTGATATGAATATAATTAAATTGCACAATAGGAACAAGGAATTGAATGAAAATAAGAATTGCACAAATTTTAACTATAGAAATATATTTTGTTTACTAAAACATTGTACATGTAAACTTAAACTTAACACGAGAGACTCATCGTAACGTTACCGAGCGTTACACTTTTTCATAAGTGACTCCCAGCCGCAACCTAATTTAAGACGTTGTCACGTCAAAAAGTTTTGGAAACAATGGCTTATTTGTTTACCTTTTGTCCCAGAGGAATTTAAAAAGAGTATACATACTACACAAAGTTGACAAGTGCGGCCGCGTAACTTGAAGAAAAAATTCCAATAGATACCTACATAATATTTGTTTCAATTTGTGGTCTTGAAGCTAATTAACATGATTATATGATGATTTAATAATAATTAATAATGAATTCTATGAACAACATGATTCGAATGAGACTTCGAGTTTAGATTACATATTTCGATTCTGCTCTAAAATAGGTTTACTTAGTGTAAAATATGTGTATTGTTTATCGGTAATACATTAATTTGCGTTCAACTACAAGGAAATATTTTCAATAATTAAGTATTCTGTTTTCATTGTGAGAACAATCATTTAATCGTGGGAGGCATAAGCCTTTTTTTGTTGTCTGGGAAATGCCTTACGCATCCTTCAACCACCGGGGGAGCGAAAAGAAGGTATTTGGGACTCCTTTTTCAAAAGAAATGAGCAAAGCCCTTCCTAACACCAGACAAAATCCAGACAATACTCCTGCTCCCTCACTCACCCGGCGTACTTTCTGAGGACCACAGTGCTGCACGCCGGGAGAGCGGGTGTGGTCGCGGCAACGGTTGCTGATTGCCCGCGCAATAGGAGTAATAAGCCTAAACTTGCTCTTCATGTAGTGCCAGTACATATTTGTGAGTACTAACAAGTTCAGGTGCATCCAAGAACAATGGTTTGCCTTCCATAGCAATTCCAGATAAAAGTTATTGTTCACCTATCTGGTGACCCGCCTTTGTGAAAGTTAGTACCTAACATCCACAATCATAGAAAAGTTACTTATCAGCTTTTCATCGTGGAACTTACAATAATATTATTTTCAGTATGCAACTAGCAATGAAGACAGTTACAGAAGAACCTGTTGTACGTACAAATACCAAAGAAGATATGAGGAAGATGTACAGCAGCCAGCGTAAAAGTCACGATAAAACGCAAGAACCTGCTTAAATCCGAGTATATAATCAGTACGCTAACGTAGTGGTTTCTCAATCGATTTTAAATTTCGTGTCAAACACGTTTAAGTTAAAAATAAATCGTAGCTACTGCAGCGGAGTAAATATGTTTTTGTACAATACGATCATATCATAATACTTTTAGATTTTATTTCTATTATTTACTTCTTACTTACTTACTTCATCATCATCAGCCTATTAATGTTCCCACTGCTGGGGCACTGGTCTTCTATACGGATGCAATAGGGAGATTGGGCCATGACCTACCACGCGGGCCCAGAGCGGATTGGCGGGTGCTAAAGACTGCAGATGCAGCTGGGACCAACGCAGCACGGATCTCGCTTAAAGCTCTGCTAGGGCTTACAATACAGAATTTGATGCAACACATTCGTTGATAAGGATTTCGTGCTAAATAGTGTTTTGGAGATATCGCAACGATGGTAGTAGGCAAAATGATCGATGCTACGGAAAGCTGAGATTTTATGCGCAAAATCTTTTTCCCTGAAACGAGGAGATTTTGATATGTTTATCAAAAGACGTCATTAAGTAGATAGATCAGTAACACCAATGTGAATTATACATACGCGGTTGGCTGCAGTACGAGGTACTACTGAGTTTGCTACAGGCTACCCTCTGCGTCGTAAGGACGGATATTGAGGGAAAATATTTGCTAATGATTAATACGACATTTTCTTCCGTATGACCGTGTATTTAGCACATTTACAATATTAAATTAGGTAAAAATAGAAAGCTACAATCGACTCCTTCACATATTTTTGACAAGTCCGACATTATTAAGACAGTGTTGCCAGACTAAGATCTTAAAAGCTACGTTCCGTGACACGTGTCTTACCGTACACACAACTTTCGCTTCATCTACATTAATTACTCTTTTCATACAAGCCCACGATTTTTGCGGCTTCTGACGTCATCTACCTTCAAAATGCGATCAATTTGATCGTAATAGAATAGCGGCCTTCCTCGGCTTTTACATCCTTCCACTATCGCGTCGTATATCTGTTCCGAAATTCTGTCATTAGCCATTTTTTCAGATGTCTGAAGTAACGGAGCATACCTCTATCAATTTTAACACCAATACTGTCACCCACTCTTCTATCAATGTCAGCGTGGTACCTCCCATCTCTGCTAAAAGTACATCCGAGACATACGATTACATTCATTTATTCCAACACTACATTATCAGACATGATCCATACAATTGTTATGGATACCTCTCTTTCGAAAACCACTATCTTGACACTGACACTGTGTCGGTTCCACAGCGCAATAAATTATTTCATACAAATTTATTATTTAGCAAGCAGTGGTTTGAGTTTCCTGTAAAGATGTCAGAGATCCAGTTCTAGTGCCATCACCACACCCATAATTTCGGCAAACGGTGAATGGTGTCGAGAACGCCCGTATTCGAGTAGATTTCATTATGTTTTCCCGACACCTTCTTTCAGCCCGTATTCAGTGTAAATATTGCTTCGGGTGCCCGAGCACTGAATAATTACACTGAATTAATTACAATAACAATTCGAGTAATGACTTTCGTGCACCCGAATAAGAGCTAACGACCTACTGTGTTATAGTTCTAAGCTTCATAATATAATGGACCATTCACAGATTGTCAACGTGTGAAACGAAAAAACACAACTTGAAGGCTTGTTCGTAGAGTAGACGCCTTGATTTTTACTCGCTTTAGAGCAAAACTGTCAATGAATACCGTATGTGAATACATTAAAACATTGGTACCTTTGACTGTTTTTTTCATAGATAGGTCCGACAAATGACTCCACCCCACCTGATGTTAAGTGAAGGTGAAGTCCAGACGCGAAGATAGTTGATACCCTGCCGGCCTGCATGTTACATTCTTCCCGCCTCTTTTAAAGGTTCCCAGGTTGTAAGAGGGAGGGAACACGTGAGCGGACAGAGCATTCTATTTACGGATAGTGCGACAAAGAAATGAATCACCAAATTTCTTTGTACGTGTTGGAATTGTGGCCACAGTTAGACGGTGACAACGTAAGCTAGCGCGCATGGTACTCTGAAGGAAAGGGGAAAGTGGAATAAGAGAGAATAAGTCCTTAGAACACTCGCCATGGTACAAACAATAGAACGCGCTTAGTGACCCCACGTCACGGCTTAATTGAAGAGGCTCGAGGTGTTTAGTCACGTCCTCATCGCTTATGTTGCGGATCGCGCGCCGCTGTATAATGGGATTCAACTAAGAATAGGATCAACTGGGCGCCATATTTTGACGTATTTTGGCTGTCAATTCAAACCAAATAGGTAGAGTGAGAAAAAAAAGTTTCTATTTAATAAAACTTATTTACTAAGATTATATGAACATCAGATTTTTTAATAAAATTAATTTAGTCAGATTGAGAAAAAAAAATACCGATTTTTAATAATATTTCTTTATTAAGACTGTGTGAGAAAAAACATTAATCAGAATCTAGCTCTTCAATGCAGGTCACATACGAACAGACATCCTATATAAAAACGAAAGTTTTAAATCGAGGTTCTGACGCAACATAAAGTGACATTTGGTTGACGATTTAGGTTATCAACCATCCAGCAAAGCTCAATGAATGAAAAAATATATCAACCAATATTAATTATCAATATTTGTTATTGTTTGTTTAAAACTGTTGGGTTTTTAATCTAGAATTAGCCGAGGACTAAAAAAGTGTTCCGACATTTTTTGCAAACCGTACTTTTCATGCGACATTTGACAGATGGAGGTCATTGGCTTTCCTATTCTTATTTGAAACGCATTATAACCTATCCAAAGCATCGAGCAAGTACTTTTTTGGAACCAATGTTTTAACTCTGACATTGCTATTAACTGTTTGTTGTCAAAACAATGTTAGTAAATTGAAGAATCTATTCATCTACTTTGCTTGGCATTAATGATATTATGACTTAATCAAATTCAAATTTCGTAGTGTTCGATTAATATTCAATTAGTTTGGCATTTCCAACAAAGAGTCACGTGGCAACGATAGTATCTTTTGATGATACTTTATGTAGTCTACGAAGCTACTTCAAGTTTTTTTACATATATCTTTGTGATTAATCACACACCGGCATTACAAGTTGGGATTATAAAGTTATGAGTTATATAATTAAATAATAAAAACCACTAAAAATGATTTACTACAGCAGTAGATATAATTACTTAGAAAAAAAATAGTTTAACGCGTTTCTCATTACGTGCGTAATAAATAGTTAGATACGCGCTAATTTTATGTTAATTTTGTTTTTGATAACATGCTGATTCCCAATAACCTACCTTTTTTTCGATAGTCACCTCCGTCTCCGAGCCCATTAAAAATTGAGTCGAGCAGTTATGTAGGTGCCATCTGGTTGGCAGATGCGAAGTTTAATGGTTGATCACGTCCACAAACCTGATTGTAAAGTTACTTTTTAACACCAGTAGATAGCGCTCATCGAATAAAAGCGCTACTTGTATGTAATTATTTTGTACAGGTTTTCAAATTCTTTATTGATACCTACAATCAATAAAGAAGAATTTGAAAACCATGTTTCTTTCGCAGTATTACAGATGACCTTACATATTTCTTAAAGGATATTAAATCATTCTGAATCTGCAATAAAAATTATATCCAAATTGAGGACACTATAGTTCTACTAATGTTATATTTAATTATGAAACTTTATAGCTACAAAGTTTACCATCAATTTGCAATATATACTCCTATCTATTATCCTAGTATTATTTTAACTTAAAGGATTATTTATTATTTTTGAATATATTTTGGATTCTGAAGTCCACAGAGAATGTCTCGGACAAAGAAATTAGATAACAGTGTAATAGAAAATAGTCAAAAATATTATTTCTAGCATTTACTGCGCTTTTGACTTATTTATTCAGAGCGCGTTATTATCTTTAAATTAAAACATTAAATAAATCCAATAAAAATATCATCAGTACTGGGACAAAGTTGTATGAAGGGAAAAGTAATCTTTCGGGAATAGCAAAAATTTTACTGAATCTAATTAATGTTCGCATTTCCCTCGCAACATCTCTATGGAATGGAAAATTTACATAATTATTGCCAATTTCGGTAGCATTCTACTTCGGCCTCCTTTTTTCGTGCCAGTCAAACTTCAAAAAGTACAGACAACCGGATTTCAAGTTGCCATAAATTTAAACCTTTAGTTTTTCAGAAATTTAACGCCAATTGTAATTATTAACCAAAAGAGGTACCTAAGCAGTTCTAAGCAACAGTTGTTATTTTAAACTAAATAATAAAAAATCTACACAACAAACATCTAATATCTGTATCTCTGAAGGTTGTTACTGAACTGGCTGTTACATTAACAAGAATCAATAAAGTGCAGTGAAGAAAATATGTAAATATTAAAAAAGAATGTTTTAGCTAGCTTGATCGGAGGTCATCTATAGATACCTATCTGGCTTTTGTATCAATGTAAATCTGCTATTAATAATAGATTTACATTGATATTATTATCTTAGCATACCTTAATAGTTTTTAAATACATAAATGAAAAAGTCAAGTAATTCATTGAATTGAATGTGGTAAAAAAAACTGTTTAATAATCCAACTTAATTTATTTTAAAACCAAATCACATTATAATAAACTTAACTAGCTATTTACAATTGGAGAAATAGTTTAATTCAACAAATTCAATTTGCCTACATGATACAAATGTAAGTAGACTTCTGTCACCATTTCACTATATCATAATTAATGTTAGATAAAATTAATCAGTGCTTGCGTCACAAACGCTATATCTAAGAATATGACATAATAATTTTTGATGACTACTTTGATTTTTGTTTAATTGTATGCGTTTTTTATAACAATACAACTATTATTGTTATTTGATTGTAAAATTTTATTTTTGGAAAAATTCAAATATACCTATTGTCTCAAACAATTTTTCACAAGAACATATACGAGTTTATGTATTTCCAATTAAGCCTTTGCCATCCTCTTTCGTGGTTGCAGACGTACTTTGAATCCTTCAGCGCGTTTCAGAATGATGTCAGCTTGTAGGTTGAAGTCAGATTCCTTGAGGTCCGATTGAACCCTGAAGTTTCTCAAGATTGTCGAGAGGATAATCTTCAGCTTCAACATGGCGTACTTGCGACCTGCGAAAAAAAATTTCTATAACACCTGGGCATAAAAATATAAATTTTACGACGTTATCAAGAACAATATTGTCGTAACTTGAATTAATATTCTTTCAAAATTGATTGAGATCTCTGTTATATGCTTTTGTTTAAATGGTTAGTGTAGATCTCTTTTTATAGGCTCTATCGCGTTATATAGACAACTAATACATCACATTGTTTATTATCACTAATCTGAATCTCACTCACCAACACAACTCCTAGGCCCAGCTGAAAATGGGACGAAGGCGTAGTAGTGACGGTTGGCCGATTTCTCTGGTAGGAAGTTGTCAGGGTCGAACTTGGTCGGGTTCGGATAGATGTCTGGACGGCGGTGCAGCTTGTACGTAGCAATGATGACAGTCGTACCAGCAGGCACTTGTTTACCGTTCGACGCTGTACGGAAAATTGACACATAAAGGTTTCAAGAATTCTTATGATGAAAAACAAAAGTGAATCACCCTGAATTATTTCCTAGAATAATCTAGCATTGAAGTAAATGAATGAACTAACCTTTGAAATACTGCCAAATTTGGTAATTTATATACTTTAAGATTTTTTTTTATATATTTATCTTGATAAATAAGGAAAAAACATATTCAACATCCACCAAGATCAAATCTGCTTGCGGAGAATTCTACATAATATTATGAAAGAAAACGTGACCTACATAAACGGTCATAAAGATATTTTATTTGACTTACGCAAGGTAATGTCCTGGTTGAGCTGGCGAGCAATGATAGGCACTGGTGGGTACATTCTCAGAGTTTCCATCAGACACCTCTCCAGATACTTCATCTCAAGTGTATCTTGGAAAGTGGCTGGCCGGTCGGAATCTCCGAAGATCTGGTCCAGTTCTGCAATAACTTTGTCTTGGATATCTTGGTGAATACCCATCATGGATAAGAAGAAACTGCTACCAGCAGCAGTGGTATCGTGGCCCTGTAGAGAAATTACCAATATTAATAATCGTGGCATTGATCAATTGCTTAAATACAAGCTTATATTTATGTAGTATAATTCATACCTCGAACATAATTGTGTCCACTTGTTCTTTGATTTCTTCGTCGGATATAACTACTCCACTCTGAGAACTTTCCAAAAGCAAGTCCAGGAAAGCGAGGCGCTTTTTCTGACCGACATCGTTATCGTCAACATCTAAATCATCTTTAAGTCCTGCAGACTGTCCGAAAGATAGACCTTCAACTGATGTCGTTTTCGTGGCAGGGATTTCAGTTGACGTTGTTGTTTCGGGTGCAGACAAGACAGAAGGCTTCTTTCCAGATTTGAATTCCTCCTTCTTCCTCTTGATTACCTATTACAGTATAAAATTATGAATTAGTTACCCAATTACTTTAATTAAATAGTTTTATTATTTATTCAAGAAAGATCAAATCACATATATCTTAAATAAACTTCATTAGAAACTAGTTTGCAACAAATGTTAGCATAAATTAACATAAGCATGTTGTAAACTTGAACAGCGGTTTAAAGAGCACGATTAAAATTCATAAAGTTAAACCGACAACGTGACAATATAGCTACCTTCTTGGTCAATCCGTGGATGACGTCAAGGAGTTTAGTCTGGTTCTTGGCGTACTGCGTGAAGTTGAACAAGAATTCGGGTCTCAACCAGATCTTAGTATGTCTCAAATGGAGGATGTCGCACATCTTCATCACAGCCATGGCATACTCAAAACCACTCTGGTCTTGTGTGCTCTTGCTGACACCCATGGCGGTTTCTGGATGAAATGATACACAGTTAGTTTAGTAGGTAATTAAAAAGTGTTATCCTAATCACATTAAAAGCAAAAAGTAAGAGCGATTGACCTTCATTGCTGCGAAAGTTATTGAGTAACTAAGATCGTCACGCTAACTTTAAATGCTGAGTGTCCCTTTAAGGCGAATATTGGCCATTATAATGTACGTGTGCTGTGGGGGGTCGCCAAACTCATTATTAGATACGTGCCGTCAACAAACGAATAGCATGCAAGCACCTACTTCAACAGATAATGCTGTTCGAACTCTATGGAGTAAATAACTAAATTGCCTCAATAAAACAATACGAGTTCCCGCCGCATGGTATAATACAGAGCTTGTTAAGATGTAACTGCAATTTAAATAATTACTAATAACACGCATCATTACTGCAGAAATAAAAATGTATTCACTGCATTAGTTGCGTACTGAATAGAATATTTCTTGAAATATTTTCCGCTACCAGATTATACTTAGGTTGATACAACACAATATTATCATCTCGCCAGTGATATTAAATTTTCTTTGGTAGCGTTGTGCAAAATACGTTTCGTAAACTTTAAATCACACTCGAGACGCTCGCTTCAAGAACGCCATCTAGTGTCTGAGCAGGGCCGTGTGTTGTTATTACGCAGCTGCTACGTGACTCCACTAAGAAATCGACGATTATCTTATACTATTTTCGCGTAGACACCTTGAGATTTGGGTCGATTTTTAATAAGCTACTTTTATATTTATTTATTTTTACTTTATCTAACATTTCCGTTCTGCGCTAGTTTTATACTGACGTCAACAAAAACGTAGCGAAATGAATTGGAATACTCAGTTGAAAAACGAGTAGGTAGGTACCTATTAAATTTTTGCATATTTGAATAATTTATTGGACGGATGAATTTCCGTCCAATAAATAGGTATTTATCATATAATAATTATGATTGTTGAGAAACAACTTATGTAACGAGGTCGTAAATACGGCCGTTCAACTCAGAATTTTGTTAATGAATCTGTTTTAATGGTCTTAAATAGAAGCGTCGTTTAGTTTTCTGAGAATTCCGCAGGAACCTAACATTTCCCGGGAAAAAAGGATCACCAAAACAAAGGTTATAAACTATATGTGTACTAAATTTGTCTGTTTTTGCGTGATTGAGTAACAAACTTTCACATTTATAATATTAGTAGGATTCTTTAAAGCTTTTCAACGCCGATCTTGGATGTACCGCTGTACCTAATCTTTTGCATACCTGAGACCTACCTAGAATGTTATACGAATATAACCTTTCAATAGAGATTTAAATATAAAAAAGAGATATATAACATGGCTTGTAATATATTTAATAATGATAAAAAAATAGCGAAAATGAATTCAGTTCTTGTCTGAGAAAATCACCATGCGAAGAATCTATTTGGAAAAAAGGAACACGAAATCAAAGTCAGTGAGCAAAGAGGATCAAGTGACGACAGACAACATCGTCTTATAAAAAACACATGGACTCTTTTGTATTCCACTCGTGATTCGAATGAAGACTCATTGATGGACCAGGAATCTTTGTTGGATGAATTTATAAAGTTGGTCGTAAACATTGGCTTCATTTTTAATTTAGTATGTTAGAGACATTTCAAGATATATTGTTTCTACAACGTGTGAATACATTACATTCCATTTTTTTTTTGTTGCTAAGCTAACCAGGTACTTTATCTTATGTAGGTAATTGGGATTTCTATTTCTAAGAATAGCGATTAATTATTACGGCTAGTATTTCATGACATTGTTGCGCAACAAACAGAATATCTAACACTTTATTATATTCCTGGGATGCCATGACAGATATCATCATAATAATTTTGCAATAATAAAGCATAATAGCTACATAAGTACGTACGTTTGAAGGCGAGTGGCTTATATTAGTGCTTAATAATGCAATATAACGAGAAGACCTTTTCAGTGTACCTAGTATTTACTACAAATTATTACCTAGAATCTTATGAAATGTTGTTTGTAGCAGACACTACAAGAAGCAAAACACGTTATTTGAATGTCGATGTTGTATATATTGTGGGTTATATAAAAAGATAAAGAAATTAGCTTTAAAATAGACAGACACCTAAGAAGCGCTGCTGACACGTCTAATGTGAATAACTTAAATATATATAGAGTAACTTTTTACTTAAGTAATTTTAATGATATTTAATTTTGATAGTGCGAAGTTTAGAGCTTTTAGTATTGCATTGATAGCGTAAATTCAACTATAAAGAAAATATTGGTCATTTAATGAATTTGCAATTATTTATAATCAAAAAAATTAGGCTTCTATAGTATAAAAGTATAGATAAAAGAATTAATAGTCAGCTTGTTTTAGGTAAAAATCAATTAAACTCCACAATTTACAGAATTTTCTCGCACAAGAGCGGTAAGCGACCATTTTGTAAGAACATGGCATACAACAAAAGTCATTAGTTTTGTATTTGATTTATATTTATGCGTCTGTGTAGATTCAAGAAAGAACAAGTTAACAATTGTTAAGTGGAACTTACCTAATAAGATTTCCACGGTACACTCGCTCATATAGTCGTGGCAGTCGAAAGCGCCACTCTCCTTCTTCAGTTTGTCTACCACGTCCCTGGAGTTAGCGTTGAACAAATCAATAAAACTCTTCAGGACATTCAAGTGGAAAGTGGGGGCGATGAGCTTGCGGTGGGACCTCCATTTCTGACCTAAAACAAAATAAATTATTAAAAATAAATCTAAAATTGATTCTAAAGCGTGAAATCTTAAGCAGTAAGTGCAAAATTTGAATGATCATTCATAGTGTGGCTTTATCAAATTTTCATAGTTTATAAAATTCCAAACATGACCGAAGAATTTTACATAAATAATAGTTGTGTGGTTGCGTGACTCCATGATCACTATAGCGTCATCGCGAGCCATCGACCAGACGCTCGGTCGTAGGCGTGATACCATAATGAGTGACAATCAGTTTAAAAACAATTTGATTAATTGAAGAGTTTTCAGTTTAATCAAGTTGTTTAACTTTAGAATTTAAACAAAAAACAATATTTTAAAACTTCAACAACTTGAATAACTGAAGAGTTTTCAGTTTAATCAAATTGTTTAACTTTTGAATTTATTAAAACAAAATAAAATTACGAAAACTAACTGAGATTTCTGTAAAGAGTCAAAAGTGAACCGTGTAATAAACCCCTTAAATTTATTATATTATGTTAAATTTTCAATTGAGACAAATCATCAAGATAAACCACATATTAAACAGTTCTTTATTTGGGATAATAACTTAACCCAAATTAACTATTTATTATTGATTGGTTTTCTTATGTAACTATATTGGAGAATACATTATTTGTCAATTAACAGTGGGCCAAATGATTTAGCAGAATCAAGATGTTGATGCTGTAACATAATTTAGGCTTGCTAGTTTTTGTTCTTTGTTAGGCATGTTAGTTTTTGACAAATGATTTTGTTATATTTTTTTCCTTCCTGTTTATTTTATCTTATTACATTAAAGCTAAACTACCTAAAGTTTATAATATCCATATTCTTGCAATTTACCCGGTTCTTACACAGTTGCTGTTAATTTTGTTCTGCACGCCTATTCATAACTATATTTAGATAACCTCTAGCTTCTGCCTACAATTTCTTCTGTACGGACTTTAGTAGATGCTTCATCCGTGGAAAACATTCTTTCTGGGACAAAAGTGTTATAATGTGTAAGTCCAGGTTACGAACGGTTTGGGTACAAAATGCCATCAAAATTCTTTTAGTCGTCTTTTTGTCTGTCTCTCGTCTCATGCAAATACAAACATAAAAACTTTCAAACATGTAAGATTACGCTTACCAGTACTGATGAGAAGACCATCTCCGAGCCAAGGCTTGAAGAATCTGTACTCGTCGGCCTTGTCGATGTAGACGTGGCTGCTGAGGATGAGCTCTACGTCCCTCGGGTCATACAAGAACACCAGCAGCCTGGGGCCGATCCAGATCTTAACAATACCCTCTTTGTCGTACGGCACGCTCTTTGACACGAGGTTCTTGAATATGTCTGTTGGCAAAACGAATACACCGGTTAAGTAAAAGACAAAGTGTTCTCCATTCACCTCAATAAAATTTAAATAAAAGAAAGACCACCTTCTTTTATAATGATGAAAAAAATGGGTGTTGATACCAATTTATTATAGTTCACCAAAAATACTTCTAATATTATTCTATTAGGCACGAATTTGTTAAATTATATATAAATAGACCAGTCATTATAGGTTTTATCAACGGAAAAAATCCAAGTGAGCTGAATAATCGGATTTCCTAGAGAACTGTCGATTTTCACATCTCATTACAATGCCGCAATAAAGGTGTATATAAAAATTCAGCTCAGGATTTTCTTCCTCAGATTGGGGTTTAAAATGACTGGAATAAAACTTAACAAACCAATTGCTGTTTTTGATACTTCACGAAATAAGTTTACCTACTCTTCTCGAATTCACAAATACAAATTTTAGTCTTATGTTAGATTTGACATTTTGTAATTTAATGAAGATTAATTGTACCATGAAAATGCTAATTTTAACTCACCAGCGGAGCCTCCAGTGAATTCCAGCGCGTTTCCGATGATCGGCAGACCCGGTGGTCCATTAAGTTTGGCAGCCAGTTCATACATGTGCCTTCTGGACATCCTCCAGTACGCATACCATAGGACTAATGCTGGGACCAGTAGCATATAAAACATGTTAGTAGCCGTCCATGTGCTAGCTTGCACAAGATTTTCTGCCGCGTAGCTCATTTTGAAATTTCTGTGGACAAAGAATTAAATTCACTTAGAATATAATACTAAATAATATAATGCACATTACTATTACGTGTGCTGTTTTTTTATGCATGGCCGAAATTGTGTAATTTTAAAAACGTTTGTACTCGTTTGAGTCAGCGTATCGCTGACCGATACTTTGAACTGAGCTATAAACATATTAAACAAAAAATGTGCATTCCCAGTAAAATTATTATAGTCAATCATGTTATAAGTTAGCACATTCAGATCTGTGCTAACATGCAAATAAATTACTGACAACTGTAATTTTCATACCTCATAGTAAGCTCTAGTCTAACTGAACTAATGATAAGTATGAAAATATCAAATTTATATCATCACTTTAGGTAGTTCAAATTTCAAATAATTTCAAGCGAGACGTAAACCAAGAGTGCTTAGTCTTCGGGTTTGTGTTCAGCTATATTATATATTAGGTGCATACGTCTACTTAAATCTGATTCAATCTATACATATAAAAAAATGGTAGGAAAGTTAAAACTGTACATTGAATATTTTTTAAAAGAATACTTGGGGTGTGATCTACAATCGATACCAAAGCCAAAAATATAGTTTTTTAGAATTTTTGTCTGTTTGTCTGTATGTATGTCCGGGATAAACTCAAAAAGTACTGCATGGATTTACTTCAATTTTGGCACGAATATTATTAAGAAGTCGGGTCAACATATAGGCTACATATTATCACGCTATCACCTACGGGGAACAAGCAGTGAACCTATATTTCTAACTAACTCCACGCGTACAAAGTCGCGGGCGGCCGCTAGTTGTTAATATATTAACAGGAAACTAACCAGCCTTGGTTACTACAGGCAACAACTACAAATAAGATTGTTGTTCCTGACCAAGCACTAACTTATTATTATCTCACATAGTGTGCATATTATTATGAAAATCACGTTTGACATTAACTTGAAAATTGTAGCTATTTATTTACTGTGTATATCCTGACTGGCACTGTAATATGAGTCTCTCTAAAATGGAATGAAAACCTACCTATGTGTAATTTAATCCCCTTTACATACTATTGCTGTCAGACAAAATCTGATTTTGCAAAAAGTTATCAAAAATAAGGATTCCAAAGATAAAAAAATATACAATTTACTTATTTTATTCTCACAAATGAACCATTTTGTGAATGAATGAATGTGAAAAAATGTTGAATGATGATTATATTTTAATATAAAAACGGCACTTTAAATAAATTCAATAAGCTACATAAATACTTATATAATGCAAAAGCGGAATACAATCGATGTTTTGATATTGATATTATCTACATTATGTAATTTTTTTATAAAAGAGAATGTATGTAGGTATTCAATATGACCAAAAAAACATACAAGGATTTTTTAAAAAATTAAACCTGGTTTTCTTTGAAATCATTATCAATATTATTAAATAAAAATTAAGTTCTTTTTATATGTTAATGTTAATTGATATCATGATATTTCCAGATTCCACAAACTGCTAAGGTGATTTTCTAATAATTATGTAGAGGACGTAGAAAAATTATTCGTTTTTTTAATCACACTAGATGGGTTTAATGGATTGGAATAATACTTGGCAGATTGGTAGAATGTACTCTTTATCCCATCAGAAGGGAGAACCGAAGACTTTGTCACAATAATATTAAAATATAAATTGGCAAAAAAAAATATCACTTGATAAGTTAAACGTTATTCGTACAATAATTATCATTAAAACCTAAACCAATTTTTGCGTTATTTATTATTCATACATTTATGAAACATTTGGTTGAATGAATGATTTCTTAATGAATTATTTTTGCAAATGCCATGACAATGACATTGAAAATGACATTCTTTTATTACAAATTCAGCACTTTAATAGTATTCACTACTTATGTAATTTCTTAAAATAAGTTTTTTATACCATATTTTTTGTTTACAATAGTAATTTTTTTCACATACTAAATATAAATAAAGTGATGCTATTATATGTAATATATAACGGAATGATGCACTTAAACGTAACCAAACTATTTACCACACCAATCACTTCCCTACCTTTTGTTGTCTGCAATCCGGCGTTAAGGGCACAAATTTATTTAATAACACTAAGGGCCTTAGTCGAGATGGTGTCTCGACAACGACTATTGGGTAGGCTTCTGCGCAAGCGTCTATATACAGGACAACTACGTCATCAACGTTTGATACACAGCTATAGAGCCGTCCGATATAGGGTTGCCAATTGTGCTGTTAGGACGATACTCTTACTTAATTTTAAGAAGTTTGTTTTAAAAAAAAATGTAAATTTCTTAATATCTTGTAGCTTCCATGATACAAAATTGTATACAAACAGTGATGTGTATCACAAAAATTTCAAAGCAATACATTAATCTATTAACTTTTATTTTTTTAATATTCTTTTCTGCCTCCGATATCGTCGTCGGCTTTGATTCTTTTATAAAAAAATGCAACCCTATTATATCTCCACACGTCAAAGAACATACGTATTATGGTAACAGGATTTAGTTATTTATTATGGTGTTTCTGGATAAATATTATTGACGCAATCATTTTATTGATGCTTCACACAACAATCTATATTAAGTAATTCTATTTTAAACGTTATTTTTTAATCATGTACACAAAAAGATATAAGCTAAATATATTATTATAATATATCATCTATTCTTGCAAAACGTTAAATGTGATTATCTATCAAATGAACGAATTTATTCTCAGAAAATTATCTAAACCATTATTACATTATTGTTTTTGAGAATCCGACAGGAATCTGTATTTTTTCCGAGATTAAAAGTATCCTATATCTCAATCCAGGTCATAAACTATATGTGTACCAAATTACATCCAAATCCGTTCATTAGTTTTTTAGTCTGTATGGTAATGTGAGTATGATGAATACGAGTATTTGTACACTAAGTCATGGGCCATAACAAGCCTTACAAATTGGTTTGGAAATATTATTATATTAAGCTGCGTTTCCAAACAATTAGCACTTTTTCCACTTTGATAGCTAAGCGAACAAATGTTCAAAACAAATGCCCTGAACAAAAGTTTTTAGGGTCGTGCAAGTGTTCATTCGTCATAATATTGTTTTCATTTAATTTTTGAGCTGATGTTTCCATTTACTGATTTTTACAACTGTTTTCTGAGCGCTAATTGGAAACGCCGGCGCCGCATTAAATAATTATATTTTTATACGCGAAGGCATAACTTTTGTAAACCCTTTTAAGCAAAATTATTTGAACACGGAGAATATTTTTCATAGTTAAAGTTTAAATGGAGGAGTGGAGAAAGCTGATATTTTTATAATACATTGAATAAATAATAATCTACTATATAAAAATAAGTCGGGTTTTCCTTCCTGACGCTATAACTCCAGAACGCACGAACCGATTTCCATGGTTTTGCATTCGTTGGAAAGGTCTCGGGCTCCGTGGGGTTTATAGCAAAGAAAATTCAGAAAAATTATAAAAAAAAAATCTTCTAATCACCAAACGAAATGTTACATAAAAAGAATCCATCTGGTGGCGAAACGGAGTTCGCCGGGTTTGCTAGTAATAAATAAATGATTCTTACAAGCACTCCAATAATTGTGACGACACAGTCTGAAAACGATGCGAAACTTCGTAAAAGTAATAAATTAACGCTTGAATGCGTTACTCAACCATCAATACTATTATATAAACATTATTGAACCATCATACAAACATTTGCTCATGTCGGTAATCAAACCCAGGACCTCAGCGCCTACCCTCAGAGTAGGGGACACCTTATGATCCAGTCTACATACCACTCCACAACGAAGGCCGTTGATATTAAATTTAATAAAATAAGTATATCACATACTTACTACCCATGCGTTTGATCCACGTGCATTTTTCCATTCTTTAACAGAAAAAGAATTAGAAGAACTAATAAGGTCGTATTTCGACCTCTATCGGTAAAAAACGGCGGGAACGATTGCGATGAAAATTCAAGCGTGCATAGGAGTGGCTTGGATGGTTTAGATTCACAGCTGTACCCACAGACATATTATTTTGGAATCCTTAGTTGGCGCTCTCGTCGGGGTATAGGTTTTTCCGGAAGTCTCCTCCACCAACAACTGTGCTTGTTGTTCAAATGTGTGTGATGAATACAAGCATTTTTACTCTAAGTTATGGGCCATACCTATCAAAAACTTACAATGCTTACTTTGGGGTTAGGCCAATTGATGTGAGGGTTGGAAATATTATTAAATATTATTATTATATTAAGCTGCGTTTCAAAACAACTAGCACTTTTTCCACTATGATAGCTAAACGAAAAAATGCTATGAACAAAATATTTTACGGTTGTGCAAGTGTTCGTTCGCCTTTACATGTTTCCATTGAATTTTTGAGCTGATGTTTCTAATTACCGATTTTTACGAGGGTACAAATGTTTGCTCGTTCTGAACTGTTCTGAGCACTAAATGGAAACGCGTCATTAAATAATTATATTATAATACACGAACGCACAACTTTTGTAAACCCTTTTGAACAAAACTATTTGAACACTGAGGATATTTTTCCATTAGATAGATAGATAAGACTTTATTCGTACCAACATGCACACATACAAAATTGACAAAACGAATTTTACAATTAGATAAATCCTTGAATACAGGCAACAAATTATATTTATACAACTATACTATGATATTTTCGTGTGCAGCAGCGATACGAATGGGCGAAAACTCAGCGAAACATTTATTCAGAGAGTAAATTCTTCCTCATCGGACCCGCGCGTGAAAAATTTACACAGGATAGCACTGCTGTTTTGAACCGTTCTTAATATTATGCAATGCCTAGCGATGAATGACGCCTAATATAGAAGATTAGTATCGATAAGCTTCTGCCCAATGACTGAAATGCCTGGAATGGGATACGACACGGGTAGTCCATATATGATGGACGAATGATTAATAATAAATCTTTATTGTGTATGGAA